AAATTAGTGTATTCGAACTTGACAGTCAGAAAGGTTCTCTAGCTAATTTTGAAAAGGGTCTAGTCCTGTAATTTTACATAGAATTAAACGCTTTGCATACAAATTGTTGGGGTCAATAACATTACAATTATGTAAATGCTAGTATTTAGAGAGGCTTAGTATCAACCTCGCAGACAGCATCGACAATACATCATTTGTTGATTTTCCAACTAATCAACACAGATTTACAGATTCAACCTTCTTCTGTCCAACGAAATAAGTGTAAAGTTTTTCGTATGCAAATCTATGGTTTGCTTATTTTAGCTGAATTAGTTAACATTTTCTAAATAAAATATATGTCCTTATTGTCATTAAGTTAAACAATTTGCCTTCAATACAGAGTGAGTCTGAGAGAGATTACTGCACTTATAATTAGTCTAATGAAAACTAACACATCGGGAATTCTTGACTGCGAATCTAGTTCTTAGTTTCCTATATTATTTAATACTCTAAAATAAATATTTAGTAATATGTTTTAACTTTGTTATTTGTAAGATGCCTATTTAATTTCATTAAGTTGGACTTTATTAAAATATTTACTTGCTTTTAGATTAAAATTACTTAAACACTCCATTTTACACTATATCAAGTTTTTCTTTAACTGCATGACAACTACCAAAATCGGTGAAGCGCGGTGCAGACTATTATTTTTGAATGTCATTCAAGTTGCACTCTCTTTTGCTCAAATTTATTCTAGCAACCGAACTTGAATATGCTTCATTCGAGAGTTGGCATTCAAACAAATTTTTTAAAGTAAGGGTGTTTGCGCACGCTATAAGTGTGTTTCAAAGTGTGTTTGTGCAACCAAGCAAAATATGCTTGCAAGTTTTTGGGTGACAGACTATTATTCACAACATGTTGGCGATGAGCTGAATGATGTGCTCACCAAAATTTGGGTGACCACGACAGCATGTTGGTTGCGTATCATTTAAAGATGCAGACTATCATTTTTTACTGCCAGTGATGGATTTTCTCTCTTGAATAACTCTGCTTTGACAACTAAGAATGTCAAACTTTATTGACTTTTTCGTTCAATAAGGTTTAGCAATTCATCATATATCAGTTAACTCTAGAACGACGCTTCTAAATTATGGAAATTTACTTTGAAAAAAACAAATCTGTTCGCGAAGTTCGTAGAGCATTACGTTCATTATACAGTCAACATAATCACGCTAGTGAACAAGCAATTCGTCCAGTTAATTATCGTTTTGCACTATTTTTACTCTTTTTGATTTAAAACCATCAACAAGACAAAGAAATGTGTGTACCGAGGAAAATATTGCTACTGTAGCATGAAGTGTTGAAGAGGACGCCGATATGTCGATTCGTCATCATTCTTAGCTTGTTGTCCTTTGTCCTTCGACTACGTGGAAAATTTTACGTAAGGATTTTGGCTTATGTGCCTATAAAGTATATAGCTCGTTCAAAAATTGAAGCAAAATTACTATCGTTTGCGTCGAATTTTAGCTGTTGGGCTTATTTGAAACTAGCCGAAAATAAGCATTTTATTGAAGAATTGTGTTTATTGAAGAAGCTCATTTCTTGATAAATAACTACGTCAATAAGCTAAATTGCTGTATATAGAACGAAAATAATCCTCAATTCCTTGACGAATCATCGTTACATCCATTAAAATTGACTGCTTAATGCGGTTCACACGCTGGCCCCATCATCAGTCCTTATTTATTTCGAAATGAGGAAGAAGCTGAATGAAAAATGAAAGGTCTATCGAGCCATGCTGACTAAATTTTGATGATTGTTTTTCAAAAATTAATCAGTTATATATCGACGACATTTAGCATTTAGTTTTAATAAGACGGTGCAACTTGTCATACAGCTCGCTTAACAATCGATTTATTGTGAAATCAATTTGATAACAACTTTATTTCCAGTAATGGTCCTGTTAAGTGGCTCCCTCGTTCATGCTAACGTCCGATTACTGGATTACTCTTTATGGAGTAGTGTTAAGTCATCTGCCAAATTAAACTAAGAAAAATTTTATTCCAACAATATTTTTGTCTTGTATTATCATTTTAAGTTCTCATGCAGCTATAAAAACACCCGATGTATATTGAAGATTATTTAGTTATATTTTATAAAATAATATCTCTACTGCCTTCAATATATACATATTCATAAGGTTTTAGAGGTTAGCTTAGTTTGAAGTTATTGTAAGATATTTGATGTAAATAAGAATTTCAATGGAGGGAGATAAATACTATTATATATATAAGATTTGCCCTTAATTCTATCTTCTAACTTTGCTTTATGAAACGCATGTTAGTGTCTAAAGAACTTTTACTCAATAATGTCTCTAACCACTTGGATAATCTCTAATAAGAGCTCTGTTGAATCCTGGCAATAAGTTATTCAAATGATTTTAAAGAATCATATATATATTGAAATTAATTTAAGAGAGTTTCTTTAATTAAACTAAAATATTTTAATTATATTAGTATTAAAGTGCTGCGAAAACTCCATTAAATTATTAAGCAGAAGTTGAAATATGATTATTTTATTGATATGAAATTGTTATTAACTGACTTAAAACGAATTGCCAACCAATGTTATTTAATAACATAATATTAGCGGAGAAATAGTTTCTATTTAAAATGTTAGTATAGCATTACTTTCTATATTAGTTTTCAAGTTGTGGTCTACCCATTTCTTAAAGAAAGCACCTATTCGCAACTAACATTAGTTGATAACTCATTCAACTTCAACTTGATGAGTAAATAATTCTGACTCGTTCTAAACTCATTTTCAAACCGTTCTTAACACGTTCTAAGCTCATTTTCAAGCTATTCTTAGCTCGTTCTTACTTCATAATCACATGTTTTTAACTCGTTAATTAATTTTCAACCTATTCTTAACTAATTCTTAACTAATGTAGTCGGCTCATATCCACAGAGCTCCATAACATACATATTCACATATCTACAAAGCACAACAATTGAAAGTGGGTATATATTTTCTTCTATTTTAGATGAAAAGTGCTTTAAAATAGCGTTAAATAGAAATTGAGTTTGTAATCTTTTAAACAGTAGAATATGGTACGTACACGAATAGTGCTATGACTCAGGACAACGGAGAGTTGTATTTTAATTCTCCAACCAGTTAGTAATCCATCTATGAAATTTGCTACCTAAACAAGAATAGTGTTTTGTATAAATTTGTTCATCGTTATGATTTAACGGCATTATTGGAATTATTTATATTGAATAATATTATAAAAGGCATTACGTATATAATTCTAATATTTGCCATTTCATAATATACATACTTAGAAGCCGTTATTTTACAATAAAAAAAAAATATAATTCAAGAACAGTGATAATAGATGAACATCTGCAGGCCATCCGTTAGGGATGAGGCACATTTTTTGCTTGGGCGATATGTCAGTAAAGAAGTTGATTTATCTAGGACAGTACAAATGTACAAATAACTGTTGAAAAATAATTGTTTTCTGGTGTGGTATTTGATCTAGATGGTAGAGTATAGAGACCATATTACTTTATTTTAAAAACGACAAATTTCAATTTGTAATGAAATTAAAGATAAACATGTAGAATATCATGTGGTCTTAATAGGATGATGTTTTGACTTTCCTGGACGTGATGTGAATTGATACACTTCTTTAAGTTCAATAAGAAATCGTTTCAAGTCTTCTCTGATAATCGATTAAAATAATGAAACTTATTCATCAAAATAAAATTTTTTATTTATAATTTTTTCTTAATAGATCACGCAACATAATATACATTATTAAAAAGAAGATTTTAGATTTATTTAAATATAGCGTGCAGTTTTAACCATTTTAACTACTGTGAGATTCATTAATTTTTCTACGCTTAATATACTCATCGTACTCCATTCTATCCACTTCATCCGACAGAGTTTCGTAAGCTTTCTGAATTTTCTTAAACTTATCCTCTTCTCTCTTTAGTTGTTTAGAGCTCGCGTGTGGATGACGATCAGGATGATGATCCATAGCATGCCTTTTGTAAGCAGATTTAATTTCCGAATATGTTGCAGACTGGTGAACGTTTAGTATATCGTAAAATGTTGGGATCTTAGATTGTGCTAGAAATCCTTTGGCTGTACACAATTTTTTCCAATTTTGCCATGATCCATCTAATTTGTAAGCTGCTTCGTAATCATCAATAGATTCTTTATATTTTTCAAGTGTGTCAAAGCATTCAGCACGCAACAGTAATGCATCCAAATGTGTATTGTCTATATTCAAGACTAAACTGCAGTCGTCGATAGCACGTTCAATTTTTTTAGTTGTCCAAGCGAGATATGCACGTAGACAAAGAAACCTACATTTCGTTATAGGACCGAGTCGCAATTCATCAATTATTTGGCTGTAGATATCGTATGCTTCAATATACTGCCTCTCTTCTATCAGTTTATAGCCTTGTTGCACGGCCGATATTATTCTACAGCAATCCCGATGTATTTCCAAAATATTATTACTTTCTAGATTTAAGTCAATCGCTTCGCTGAAGTACTGTTTTGCTCTATCTATTTTGTCTTCGTAGAAATATCTTAACCCTAGTACATAAATAAGGTATGGATGTTGCGCTTCATCTTCACTTAAAATTAGTTTGTCGAGGATATCAACAGCTTCATTAATTTTAGTTAAGTGCAAGAGAGCTTCACATTTTCTTAACTTATATTTTAGGTTAGCAGGTGCAATTGAAAGTACTTGATTGCATAGATATACGATATCCTCGAACGATTGGAGGTAGTAGTGTTTTACCATCTCCCGCTCCAATTTATTTAAGTTTGCTATCAATATTCTTCCAACATTGAGCGCTTCTGAATATGGATCAAGTGCCGCTAATTTTTCTATTGCTGCAGTAGCTGTACCGATGTTGCCAAGAGCGATGCTTATATTTATTACTCTGACATAGGCTGATTTTAGTTTCGAATTAAAATATACTGCAGTAAGTGCATCACTTAGTGCAGCTTTATAATTGGAGAGCATCATAAACGCACCGGAGCGGCTCAAATATAATGTAGGATCAGTAGGACAAATGAGTATAGCTTCATCGAAACATCTTAATGCAGACTCATATCGCTTCGCTAACAGTTCATCATTCCCCAACCTTCTTTTTATATCCGCAGCACTTGCGTCGATATTATCAAAGTTCATCTGATTTGTGGGTGACGGGTATTTATATTCCATTGCGTTTCGAACGAAAATTTTTCGCACTTTTCACTTTATAATGTATATAAAATTTAATTAAATGATTCAAAAATAAATTTCTGCAAAAGCTTTTGTGTGATTTAAACAATATGTTCAATTAACAGTAAAAATAGAGGATGTCTATGAACAGAAATTTATTTCAAACTTTTAATATAACAGAAAATTATTTTTATGACAGTTTCATAAAATTCATAATATAATAAATCACATAGTTAACTCAATTGTAATAAAGAGTAAAATTTTAGTGAAATCTGTTGGATTTTTTACTTTGTGGTGTAAACTTAACAGATGCAACTAGCCATTTATACTTTATCAAAACCGTGTAGTGAAAGAGATATGGCAAAAAAGAATCCATATAGCCCATACAGACTACTACGAATAGCAACGTTCGTCTGGGTACCTGGTTGAGATTTATTCGACGGTAATACAATAGCTGACAAGCTTAGTACTGAGACCTAGGCCGACTCTAAGACCTAAAAGCATCTAAACACCTCATTTAAGTCTATAACAATATTTGTGTCAATAACAAGAAGGACAGAATTCTTAGCCTAAATGATTTCCGACATCAGATTAATGACCTGTTTCCTAACTAGGCATGCTCCTGTTAACTAACGCCAGTCAAAGATGGTACTTAACAGTTTCATCATATCTGCTTATGTCCAACGATTGCCTGAAAACTAGTCCAGTATTTCCAGTCGGCTTTCCTTCTGATATTTACGTTCAAGATTGAAATGAAGAGAACTGGCCTTCACACACTTTTTTTTTAATGATACTTTCAACATCTCAAGTGTAACATCTCAAGAACTATCGTTCGTATCTATCATCTATCAAGTACTTCTACTAACTTTAAATTTAGGAATAAGGGAGGCTAATATATTTATAGACTTTTCATACATTTATAAATATACTTTTTTATTTTATAAAAGCAAGTTTTTTTTCTTCCTTTAGCACTAATTTGTTTTTTGCATATAATATATCCCAATCAATTCAATATTATTAATTGCACATTCGATATAATAAGGAATACTATTTTTCAAACAATATTTCTAATTATTTTTTGCCAACAACCCTAAAAATAAAAATAATCTTAAAACTTTTTTATTGAAAATTAAAATTTTGGTGCATAATTCTCATCGCAACCCTCTCACTTACCATTTTTGACTGGCAATCCTGAGGCAACCATATATGAGTCACCAATAGTTTCCACTTTATAGACATCATAACACTCAATACGCTCATCAAAAACACGATAAATTGAATTTAAAAAAGTCACCACCTTTGGGATTAAAATTATTTTCAAAAAAATAAATTTAATATAAAAAAAAATATATTTAAAATATTGTATATAAAAGGAAATTTTTTTATATTTGGGATTCATACCTCCAGCGGCGTGCAATTAGCAGCAATTACTGTGAATCCAACAATGTCACTGAAATAGACTGTCACCGCTTCGTAAAGCTCAGCACGTACCTGCAATAAAAATGAAAAAAATTCCTTAGTATTCCTAGACGAATGCCACTGGAAAAAGTGGTAGATGACCCACCTCCTGTGTATATTTTAATTGCATAGCAACACTCGGTGGAAGCATCTGATAGAGTAGCGAGTCACTTTTACACTTCTCAATTTTTAATTCCTTGGCTTTTTGTGCTAAGTTCAAGGCGTACATCTAGTAATAGTTAATTATATTTGTGAGAGATATTTATAAGACTTTATTATTTATTATTTTATATTATTTTAATATTGCATTTTACCTGAATTGTTGCAGCTGCATTTTTGACCAATATAATTATGACGGGCGAAACACATAGTACCACGACAAGGATGACAATGCCCACAGCTTCATTATTGGCAGCTTCATGTAGTGTTTTATCCACGTATTCCCTTTTTATATATAAATTGTTATATATTTTGTAAATAAATGCAACGGCAAATAGAATGATTATGAATAACTGAATAACTTACTTAATTTTATAACGTAAAGCCTTTTGTATGATCCGTAGATCATCTGTGAAGTTGTGCATGGTATCGTAATAAACAATAGCGTCTTGTTCATCTGATTTACCGCTAACATTTTTCAAAATTTTGGAGTTCCTAACGTCGAGAATGTTTAATAAAATTTAAAGTAGAACTTAATATTTACGATACACTTACATGGACTTCATTTTTTTATAATTTTCTGAGGCAGTAATATCAGTATACATCCATTTTAAGGATGGTACATAGTTGAGCGTCGAATTAATCAGTTCACGTGCCAGAAATTCATAACGTACGTACGAGACAAACGCATCCAAACCTAAATACCCACGACCATAGTACTTAATACCATATGAAGCAGCTATATTTTGGCACTCAATACTCTTTAAGAGATTTTTAAAACCAACCAAATAACTGTGAAACAGATATATCGGGACAAGAAATAATTCATTAAATATTTACAATATCAATATTAAAAATAAAATTGTGAACTCTAAACCAGAAAATTATCAAAATATTACGGTAGCAATATATATTATTTATGGACCAAAAAAAAAATAAATGATTCCTTGGTTCAAGAAGAGATTCGTTTGAAGCATAGTCCTGATGTGATGAGTCTTGATATAACAAGTTGTACATTAAATTTACGAAAAAGGAACGACAAAACGAAGTTTAGGAGCTTCGGAACCCTGTTTCTAATCAAGCTCTGGTCAGAATTTGAAAAAAAACAAATATGAAATTGAATATTATTTTTGTGTCTTTCATACAGCTATTGCTCCAAAAGTAGCTTCTATTGTCCAAACACTTCTTCCAACAATCCCTTGACATATAACATAGATCTAATCTCTTTGGTAGTTATGAAAAAATTCTACAAAATTTCTCTCTATGGCAATCACTACCACCTTATATGATGGAAATGTTTTCCATTAAAAAGCTTTTTGAGTCAAAGAGCATTCTTAACTCAGAGAAAGCTAAATCTGGTGAACAGACTGGTTTTTATAACAAACCTTAATTTAATTCGAAGACTAATATTATTGCTGTGACGAATGATAATATTTTTCTTCTGTATGTTGCATTTTTTTTCATAAAATTTTGCATTCAATTAGTCTACATGGTTACTCTATTAGCTAAGATGGTTACTATATTAATTAAGTTACTGTTTTACTTACTAGTTACAAAATATACTGCGATATCAATTTTTGATGATTTCTAAAAAAGAATGAATTAACAAATTGATATGATTTGTCATATATTGATATGAAAGTTTGATCATCATACTGATTTCTAGGAGACGCTCATTTCACTACAAACAAATGGAGTATATCCTTTTTGTCACACGTCTTTTGTGAACTCAATGAATGGTAATGGTTTATGGGTTAGGTTAAGGCCTTTATGCACTGTTACCAGCTTGATCTATTGTGCATTAACTCAAATGATAAATTGAATATTCTTGGAAAAAGATAGTGTGTGTAATGACTCAACTTAATCAACTCATCAATGTAAAAACTTCATAAATGTGAATCTCGATTTATCGAAAAATAAGCTATATCGTCATAAAGCGTAATACAGAAGGTAGCTCAAAATAGTTGACTCTACTATATTCTGTTATCAAATCAACGTGGTCATGACATCAGATTCTTTTTTTAATTGAACTAAAATCTATCTATTCCTGATATCGCTCTACGAGAGTTTTGAACAACATAGTGAACTAAGAACTATTGGAAAATGTTATTTTTCAAATGGTAAGGCTCACCTATTTTTTTACTAAAACTTTTTTCAATAACACTGTGTCCTGAACCAAAAAATCATTTTTTATATTTTTTATACTATAAAAAAAATATTCTACATGCTAAACAAATATTATATACAAAACATACCGCCAAACTGCGCTATTATCCGTTTCCTTTATTTGTTGTGTTAAATGATATAGTAGACCACGATTAATTGACGTATACCATTGCATTACATCCGACATTGAGTTATCTTCAGGCTCGGAACGCACACTATCCCTTTTATATTAAAGGAACTCAAATTCATTATATGCTTAAAACAATATTTTTGCGAATTTTAATTATATTAACTGGTTTAATATCATATCTATACATATTAAGTATATCATAATTAGTGGTATACTTTACATAATGTTGGTTAAAAATTATGTTTTACTCGAATTTACAGTCACAATATCATAACTATTCAAATTAATTATTCTGCACACAAACATCCAACCATCGAAATTATAAAATATTCTTCCCTAATATTATTTGCCACCATTTGAATATAAATTCGTGACATAAATAAATTTAAAATACTATTTAAATATTAGATATACAATTTAACAGCCTCAATTTGTGGGAGTGTAAAAATCACATTAGTTGGTGAAGTTCATTTATCAAAAAGACTCACACAGCATTTCAATTTTACCTGAATTCATTCAATCGATTTTGAAATTCGGTACGATTTAGCATAACTTCATCCTCATCATCCTCTGGTGATGTAGGCACACTAATTTCACTCCATGTGGTCATGTTATTCAATGCCTGATCTGTTACAGCAAAACGTTGTGTCAAATTGGAACTGAAATGGGTTTTTTAATTAAATTTATTATTTTACTAAAGTGACAAATTACTTATAAAGCAAATAATAATATATTTTATATATTTAAAAATATAATTAATTGTTCAAATTATATATAACTTTCAGTGCTATTTTTATTAGTAATTAATAAAAATTAAAAATTTTCTTCAACTACAATTAAAAAAAATTACAAAATTATATATTGTACATAATATATTTAAACGACCGAGCAATCGTTGAATAAGTACTTATAGATAATTACTGATATTCTTGCGTTATAGTCTCTGTAATGGAAACCCCTATTTATTCCAGCAAAACCATAATTATTACTTATCATTATATCAAAAATTGTTTTACAAAAATCATTGTTAATTCTAACTAATTGCCAGAATATCATAATATATATCTGTTCTAACAAAAAAAATTAGTTACAAGCCATCAGTTTGAGTTTCGAAAAAAAATACTACTATAGAACAACTAAGCTGAATATGCGACAAAATCGAGAGAGCGCTTGAAGCGGAAAAAATTTGCACTACAGTATTCCTTGACGTTTCGAAAGTCTTTGATAAATTCTGCCACAAAGGATTCGTGCATAAGATTAAAGAGTGGTTTATGAGACAGATATCCAAAATTATCTCATCGTACTTATCTTCCTGATGCTTTACTAAGAAATTAAGTGGTCCGTAATCAAAACTTAAAACAATTGAAGCCAGAATACCGCAGAGAAGCATACTTGGCCCATTTCTCTACCTAATTCACACAACTGACTTGTAAGCCCTACCAGAAAGCGTCAACAGTCACATCAACTTTTGAAGATGACTTCGCAATTCTTCCTACTGGAAATACATACTATTAATCAAATTATGAATTGGACTATTAAACGAAAAATTGAACTGAATCAAACGAAATTCCTTTGTGTAAAATTCACTAACAAAAAAGTCTATTTGCCGATAACTATATCCACTGTTCGAATACCATACTCAAACACAACTAAGTACTTCAACATGAACTTAGATGTAAAGTTGAAATGGAAAGAGCACTTTATATGGAAAAGAAAGAGTTGAGCTAGAATTAAAATCCAAAAACTTATATTAGCTAATAAAAAAATCAACAAATTATTGATATACGAGGAAGTCATCGCTCCGGTGTTGACGAAGTGGAATTCAGTCATTGGGATGTGCACCAAGATCATCCATTTAAATTTCCATCAAAATTTCCAAAACAAAGTTCTAGGAAATGGAATCCAGTTATTTAAATGTGCGCTAAAATCGACAATTCATATCATCTAAAACTTCCAAGACAAAGTCCTAAGAAATCTAATCGATGTTCCGTGGTTCGTTTGGAATACTGACCTCTATCGGGACTTGAAAATCGAAAATGTGGATGGTGTTATTCAAAATTTGGTAAAGCACTAAGAACAGTTACAACAGCACCCACACGAGACTGCCCACTATCTCTTCATCACATCTGTCCTACTAAGGAGGCTTAAACGAATTGTGACTTCAGATCTATTCCGGAATTAGTAGTTTAAAATGAATTTCCTTTAGATTACTACTAAATTAGCATTAAGTCTTTGGCAACTAGACATTTGTATAATGTTTTATAATATATAACAAAACTGCTTGATAAATCTCTGCACTTGAACTAGTCGTAGTCAAATAAAGCATGTTTTTATATTATTATAAGTAATATGTTTTAAATAAAAACAAAAAAAAAAAAAATAATATATATCTCACGAGGTCTGATAGCTTCGAAAAAAATATTTAATATTTTTCAAGAGATAAACACATCTCAATATAAAACGAGGAGAAACACTTCTTGATAAGCTATAAGTATATTACATATTCCGAACTTAGTATAACATATATTCCATATTTTAATAAATTTGAAAAATTTATTTAAAGCTTCAGTATTCAAACGATGCTAATTGAGTAATAAAATTCACATTTATTTTCCACAAAATCCTTCCATAAAAGCTTTAAATTCGTATTGAAATGGAAATATCAACAATCGTAACCCAAATTGCATAAAATACCATCATTTGAAAAATTTACATCAAAATAAAACTCATAAATTCATATTTACACAAAAATAATATATACATATATCTTTTATGATATAATTCTAATATAAATATATACATACATATATACATATGAAGAAGCAATGAGAAATTTTCATCATATTGACAAATCATTGAATTTATTGAAACGTTACTCACCGCAGTTTGCTTCCGTTTGTGAATATATAAAAGGCCACCTCGGTCCGTTCCAATTGCAGACGCGTCACAACTTTGCCCAGATCAGTAGCTATGGTCACCTGCATTTAAAATTTGAAAGGATTTAGGTTTTATGCGGCATAGATTTAAACCAATTTTACGCTTCAGAAGTCATAATAAGAGGCGCATTTATAGTAAATTTTGCGAAATACATATTGACAGTGTCAATCTATAAACAAATGCTTGTGTTAATGAAAACATATATAATAATGAAGATTACATACTGGTTAAGGAAAATTTAGTTAAAGACACAATAAATACATTTTGGGTGAAAAGTAAACAAAAAATTAAATAAAATAGAAAAAATTAACAATCAAATTAAAATTTATTTTGTCACCTTTAAACCAAATCTCAGGATATGCTGTGCAGGTATGTTAGTGCCAGTGTCAGTGCTTAACCCAATCCTCCGAACATTATTAACAGACTGATCGGAGTATAGCATACAACTTCGTTTTTATGGTCACATTTCGAGATGAACATTTTTTATGGTCATAAATAGCTAAGTATCTATCTACCTTACAGTGTGATTACATTATATTTGGCTGGACAATCACAACCAGCTATTGTTCATGAGCTGAAACACCTAAACAACTCAAAATCAATACCTATATTATTTCTATATCGTACCATAAATCATTATAATAGCATAGACAGCGTTGCCAAATCATATGTTGGTGAACGAAAAACAGAGCAACATTACTTGGTATGGTTCGGAAAGTTAAGGCTCAACTTGAACGAAATCCACATCGAAGTGATAATCAAATGGCTAAAGAACTGGTAATATCCCAGCAAAGCATTCGGCTCATATTTCAAAATGTGCTCAAGAGAAAACTTTACAAATTCCAAAGTGCATAAGATCTTACACTAAAGCAACAAAATGTTAGACTCAAAAGAGCAAAGGAATTGTTATGCTTGGACGAGTACGAACGCAACGAATTTCAAAACATTGTATTCTCTGTTGAGAAAAATTTCCCCATAGAACAGTTCATAATCTTCCAAAATAATCGTGTTTACACTGCCAAAAACACTACAAATGAAACTACGATTGACCACTCGAAGTAATTTTCCTTTTCTATTTTAAGTAATGGTATGGAAAGCTGTGACCGCCGATGGACGCTTTCCAATCATTTCGATCGAGTCTGCTGTTAAATTCAATGTGACTTATTATCGGAAAAATGTTTTGGAAGTGGTTTTAAAACCGTGGGCATGCAAGCATTTCGATCGTAATCCATAAATGTTCCACCAAGACTTGGCACCGTTCTCAGTTTCATAAACCTAGTGTGAACCAAGTAAGTCCACCTAATGGGTTTTGAATTCCTCAGATGCCAGAATCGAATTCAATGAATTATTCCATCTGAGCCATTTTGGAGAGCAAGGTGTGGACTAAAATATGTTTCACTATGGATGCGCTATTTAAAGCCACTGTTCAATTTTTCAGGGGTGGGCTTAAATACCCGAAGATCACATTTGTGAAGCATACAACCCATTATTTAATAGTTTGAAGGCCATAGTCAAGGCAAAAGGTATATACATCAAGTTAAAATGAATGGATTTTGTAAAAGTAATTATTTTTACAATATTATGTAATTGAATTAATAAAAAATAATTTTACACAAGAAAGATATAGTCACTTAAATAGGTAACACTTCAATCGGTTAAACCTGTATATCTAGAAATGCGCTATTTTTCAAACTAGCTACTTTAGGTGTATCTTACATACATAAAACTTTGGGAACTTTGGATTTTGGATATATAGTAACAACTGAATATTGAATTAATTATGCTCCACTATTTAGGGAGGCGATGATGTCATATATATATTTTATATGATATGTCCTTGGGATATATATATGTATATGGGTACATATACCTTGTGATCAAAAAAGAACGACAATTTTAATTTTTGAATTCCAGCGCTTATCCAATTGGTAAATTTTATTTTCACGCTGGCAACACTTTTATATACATTCTCTCAAAGTTTAACGTATATCGTACGATTAGCTTTTGTTTGGCGTCTATACAAAGAAGTCGAAAAATTTTCGTGTGACGATGAGATATGGGTCTATCTATGTATGCATTTGACATGCCAACCAAACAACAATCGACCGAATGGTGCTTCGAAGGTGAGCCGAAACCGAAAAGAGAACGCCAAAGTCGGTCCAAAATCAAGGTTATACTGTTTTGTGACTGTTTTCTTCGATATGTGTGGTGTGGTGCACTATGAATTCCTTCCGGACGGTCAAACGGTCATGAGTATTATTTGGCCGTTATACCTCGTTTGCATGAAGTCATTCACAATAAAAGGCCAAATTAATGGAAGGAAAACTCATGGATTTTACACCAAGATAACGCACCGGCTCACACAGCATTGGTTGTGTCGCAGTGTTTGGCCAAAAACTTCACCAATATCATCAACCAAGCACTATACTCTCCAGATATGGCGCCGTGTGACTTTTTTCTCTTCCGCCGACTCAAACTGCCATTGTGAGGAACGCATTTTGAGACCATAAAAGAGAATTCGCTGTGTGAACTAAAGGCCATACCTTCGGCGGTCTATAAACATTGTATGGAAAATTGGATCAAGCGTTGGCATGCATGTATTACCGCAGGAGGAGAGTACTTTGAAGCCGATAATAAAGAAAATTATGAAAAAATAAAATTTCGCCTTTTTTTTTTTTAATTCTCTTTCTTTTTTGATCATAATGTACATGTGATTCAAGTGGGATTCTCTTGTTAAAAATTAATTATTGGTTAATAAAATACCAACCATAGGTACGAAATTCAGTTACTGCTTCTGTAGATACTATTGAGAATCTTATGATTCAAATATATTCGCTGCATCTCAGAATTCCGATATATTAAATTATATTAATACTAAAATATAATGATAGAGACTAGTTTACTTGCGTACGAAGTAATCAAATATATATAAAATAAAAATGTAAAATTTTTAAATAATGGAATAAGAGACAAGAATATTAGTTCTCTTAAATCTTTAAATCAATTCTGAAAATTTAAATTTTAAATAACGAAGTGAAAGTTTTTGTTTGAAATTTTTATGTGAAACAAAATTGAATTAAAAAGACTTCAAAACTTGTTTATAGGATAACAAAAGTATGCTTTTCTCTAGGAATTCCTCTAGGAAGGAGAAGTAGGAACGGAACTTGAAAGACAACTGCACACAATAAAGAAAATGAAGAATAAATAAATATATACAGAAAAGTGCAAGTATCCAAGGCGTCATAATAAATTATCATAAAAAACAGATTTCAGCTGCCTTTGCAAACGTTATACTCACTTTGATGTGAAGATATGCAACAGCACGTGTCCTGTCTTATAAGCTGCATATAAATACAAGGATTGTGCATTTCTTCTTTTTTCCGAAGGAAACAAGCTCTCCACTTTGTAAACAAAACAGAAGACGACGAGAAAATGGAGGAGAATAGAAATGTAAACAACAGGACGAAGGAAATGTGTTGCAAAATGGGTTGTCTGAAATGACCTTGTCAAGCAATGCATTGTAAACACAGAACGAAGATGATGGAAAAGAAAATATACACATTATACACTGAGGAATGGTTGAGCACCCACCATGAGTGATGAAGGACCAATACAACACTATACTAACGGCATAATTTGTGAGGATGGGATTTTGGATCACAGCGTCAGTAATGGTGATGACGTTAGACAGCACACAAATGTGGTATGAAATGTGTGTAGTTTATTAGTGCAATCATTTTTTAAATTTGCAATGAGCTACCTTTTTAATCAGCAGTTATGACTGTAAGATGATACAGAAATAATAAGGAATAATAGAAGCTGTACTTGAGTATCTTAGTAACACTAGTAACATGCATAAGCGGTACATAATTTATTTCATTAAGACTTATATATATTGCAGTTCTGTGAAATTATTGTTCTAGTGACATATATTAAACAAAATTGTTCACAAAGGTATCAAATATTAAATTTCTTTAAGATTCGCTTAACAACTACTAAATGTATTAAGATATTAAAAACTTACAACAAAAATAAGTTATGAGGACGATTTTTTAAAAGGAATTTGTTTCGAGGATGAGGCTTGTTTTTTACTTGGGTTATATGTTAACGGACAAAATTCCCACAACTATAGCAGTGAGCATCTACAATTAATTGCCAACTATTATATCCATAAAAATGGTATATAAGCTGTGATATTAAATATAGAGAAGTGGTTGAAAATAACAAGAATGTGAAATAATCCATAGAAAATTATAGCAATAGCTGCATGATCACCTAATGTTTTTTTTTACAGTTCAATAAGACGATGGCATAAGATATACAATAAGTCTAATTTTTGTGATGTGAATTGGACACAGGATCATAGCATAAGTGAATCATAGAACCTTAACAATTAACTTCTATCTATCTTTGTTACGAGTATTAACAAAATCATCATTCTGAGTATAATAAAATTTTCGTACTTCTCCTGGCGTCCCGGGACGTCTAGAATCTTTTAGTTGGTCATTTTACTGTGTCACCGATCCAATTCCATATGCAGACCATAAATCATTTGTTAGCACCGTTGAACCATTTATTACTAATCCCAAAATGTTATGTATATGCGGGAAAACATTAAACTCTTGACGCTTTAAAAATGAATTTTCGTCGAGTATATATATTTCTGTCTTTCATTCTGTAAACATTCAACGTTTTGATGTTTTATTGTTAAAATCAATAATATGACCAAAAAACACATTTTACAACCTATGATTAAAAATATTCTTCCGTTCAATGTTGTAAATAGGGTTCTACCTAGAACCTTAGTATTTAACAATGTTTTAAACAATACTTAACCTCATTAAAGCCAATGTCTTTATTCTAGAATTTTGTTTTACGAAAAACTTCCTTCCTGATTTAGCGCTCAGTTCTATTTCATGGTACGCTTTAATTGAAAAAGTAATGGGGGAGTCGGTAAAGTTGTGTCTTGCTTCATCCTTGACGTTGTATTTTAAGATCAGTTTGACCCTATTTAGAGAAAAGCTTTCAATTAGAAAACTAA